ACATTGCAGATTTCTTTTTCTTTTTTTACAGGAACATAGGATGCGTCTTGGGCAAAAAGCCATATTTCACCTTGAAGGTACTTTTGTCTTTCAAGATTCTGGTTGAGATAATGATAAGTAGAAATGAAGAATCATTACGTATTAGTTCAATTGCTTGCTCGATTTATAAAGAATCTCATTTAGGGTTCTTGAAATGTCGTGAAGACTTTAAATTTTGTTTCTTTCTACCCATGATGCACATGATGTTCTCTGTTGTGATCTTGTTTCATCTTATGTTACGTGTGATTTCATCGTAAAGCGTGAGGCGTGAGTTTTCAGATCCGTACTCATCCATCATGTACATGTTTTGCCCTTGGTAGCATGTATATTTAACATCAGACCTCTATCACATCACACATTTTTCGTATGGGTTGGGGGGCATGTGCTCATGAATATGACGCAATAGGCGAAGTGGCTTTCTAATCTCTGATGGGTTTTCTCTTCTCTCTTTTTTCGGTTTTCAGCGTTCGTGGCAAAGTTCATGAGCATTTATAAGGCTTTCCTCATCGAAGCGTTTGGCTGAGCAGTAGACTGGCATAATGGCCTTCAACCAAACGTTATGGCAACGAATTGTGTACTAATGTTACTAGACATTATGATAAGATGTGTACTCGCAAACCAGCTTTGTAATGCGGTTGTATTTTCACTCCATTTCATTATTATTACTGAATTTTCTTTTTAAATTCTAACTTTGTCGAAACTCTTTCGTTTCTGCGTTCAAACGGAGGGCTAGTGTACATCAATGTATGATATATCGTTCTCGAATTTAATGGTTGGATATGCTCGTAAGAATTCCACGGAATTTAATGGTTGGATATATGTGTTAGCTTGAACATGCAGAAACCTAGGTGATGTTTGTGCAACATTCTTATGGAAAGCTATTTTAGAATCAACTATCATCTGACCAATGTTTAAGCAACCAACCTTTCAAACATTTTGGGCCTAATTGGAAAAGTTTCTTCAGAAAGCACTTGTGCTTTAAAGCGCTTCTAGTAAAAGAATTTGAAGTGCTTCCTTCTTCCATAAAACACTTCAAGTGCGTTTTGGAACACACACTGACTTCTTCTGCAAAACATGGGTCGAAGCGCCTTTGATGACTGAAAACGACTTTTAAGTTATTTTAAATGTGCTTCCAGACATGCCCTTAATAAACCTGTAAATATGTCAATGAACACGATGGATGAAAGCAGAATGCTTATCCCTAACTCAAGCGATCGGGTTGCCATGGTCAACGCAAACATAAAGATAAAGAAATAGCCGCAATGAAAATAAGCACACTTGATGAACTACATTGCTGGGGTGTCTCAGCATTCTTTCAACATATTTACCAAAAAAGTTTTTAAGTCTTCCAACATGTAAGTTCATAGGTCCAGTGCCAAAAGAGAGATCTTCCTAATACTTAGAGGCTAATATAGACATCGGAAACCATTCTCCATGCATAAACGATATCTGATCAATCACCTCCCACCTGCCTCTTCCAGGAGTCTTCGACGATCAATTCATCTACGCCCCAGTCTTCATAGCTGAAATATTAAACCCCAATTAGTGTTTTTCTTAAACCACTTAAAAATCTTAAAATACAAGTTATGGCAAGTTTTGTGCCTGCGTGTGCAATCATGAACAAGCTTCTCAAAAAACTCATAAACAGGTAGTTTAAACCAAGACCTCTCAAATCATAGGCAAAACTAAAACTAGAACCTCACCTTCCATCAGGCAGGTAACGGCGTATGGTGAATGGTATCTTCCGCTCACGAAGCTCCTTCATAGCAATCTATGAAATTCAATATTCCAGAGATTATTGTTAGCACACTAGAGTATAGCACAAGGGAACAATACCTGTTGTATCAATTAGATTACTTTGTGTACTAACAATTAGACAATATGTAAAGTCGCCTAAATGGTTTAATTTAAACCATCATATTTGAACATTGGAGTAATGTCGACTCCATGTTAAATTTCTATGCAGTCAAATGGATTAACGATATGTGATTCATGCCGGCACTTTTTATAGCAACTTATTTGTTTCTGACTGTTTAAAGCAACTTAAAAGTAGAAAATGAAGGGAACTTTTTCCCTCCCAACCCAACTGTAATAGCTACAGACAGTAAATTAAGGAAATTCAACAAAGCGTATACTCCTCTCCAATTCTGAGTGGCATGGCTGGCTTAACATGTCATTGAGAACATTAACCAAAGAAGTCATTAATGTTATATTTAGTGCAGTGATATTCTTCTTCGCTGTTAATCCAGATAACTAGCAAATCTTACTTGCTTATAAGCTCTACTACGCTTACAGAGAAACAATCTCATTTCTCGTACCAATGAGAAACATAAAAAATCTCTTTTCTCTCCCATGTAACCATTACTAACATCTAGCTATATGTATGCATCTGGAGTGGAGAGGCCCGACACACACCTAAACCATGCCTATATATGTGTGTGTGCGCGTGTGTAAGGCAACTATATATACCACGTTCTTTAACCTCCCCGAAGAGTATAAACAAATGAACACGAGGGATGAACCACCAACTCCATTTGTCTGTTCACAGTTCATAGAGAGATGACACACACAAACCACAGTTGATTAAACTGAGAACCGAAAAGATATACTTTGCTTTCATGACATATACTGACATCACTCCTTTAGAGTCATCCCTTCCATTTTCTCCATCATTTCCTCATCTTCTTTAATTAATTACCAAGAAACACCAGTTAGTGACATACATAATCAACAATCAGAAACCTATAGCCTTACCCACTCCCAAATATATCAAGATTGATAATGCAGCACCTAATGCGACATTCATTGAATTGGGTAGGGATGAACATTATTCAAGAAACAAATATTCAACGCTCATAATTTCAATAGCTACCAGAATAAAATATTTTTAATGCATTGCATCATTCATGTTGCTGTTGCATATCTACATTGTACTACAAAGACTTTAGATGCTACCAGGACAATAAGCGCTCACGAAAACAGCATTTCTACCCCTATTTCCATTCTGCAACACTCTAGCTACCAAAAACTTTTGAAGAAATAGTCAATAAGGCGGTTGGTGAATGTTGTACATATAGCATTATCGACATTTTCATCTTTTGATGATACAATCTCACATTACAAGTTTTAGTCCTTAATTTACCTCATAACTCAACGTGAAAGCAGCAAAATGACAAGATCGAAACAGAGGCTAATAGATTTACGAGTGATAAATACCTGTAGGGGAATGGAATCTTACCTCAAGCGGGTCAGTCTCGCCCTCCAATTCAACCATAACAGGGGCATTCATGCTGTTCATCCAACCCAAAGATTAAAATTTTGTTAGCGTCCATCGAAGCCAAAATCAAACAAAATAAAAATTGTAGACAGATAAGGTAAAGTTTGGAAATTTGAGATACCTAATCTGCAGAGCACGGGTACCCAAGATTCTAGCACGCTCATACTTGGTCATATATTTCGAGGTTTTCCGAGGCCGTTCCACCCCCTCTTGTTCTTCCTTCTCCTCCGCTTCGATGGGATCTCCTGCAACGTCATCATCATTGTTTAAATTGTCAACATCCTCCTCCTCTGCACCTTCCTGCCCATCATTCCAATTAAAACTCAGAAATTAAAAAAAAAAAACATTATATTTACCAACAAAAGGGGAAAATTAAAAAACGTAAACACCCTTACTTCAATTTCGGGCTCCGGAGGCTCATCCTGGTATCTGCAAAAAAAAAAAAAGAATAATAAATCAGTATACTTCACATACGCAATGACAGAAAATCTGAGGGGAGAGAGAGAAAAGGGGAGAGAGAGAGAGAGAACCCCATGTCAACGTCGTTGTAGTCGTCGTCCGCCATTGTTGATGGGTGAAGAAGTTCTGGTTTAGGGTTTATGAACTTTTCGAGAGAGAGAGAGATGGCGTCTGGAATAATGTGGGAAGGGATTAGGGTTTGAAATAAGGTTTTTGAACGATCAGGTGTGCCAACGACCACCGTAAAGTTTCTAAAATCCAATCACAGTATAACAACTGCCAATATTTTTTTAATGAGCCGAGGGTTTAAACGGTTTTTAACACATACCTCTTTCCTTCAAGCTTCTTCAGTAAGACGCCGTCGTTTTCCCCCTTATATCCATCTTCTTCTTCTACCTGAAACCCTAGCTGGTGCTTCTTCTCGTTCGCCATTATGCAGGTAACTACATATCAAATCGATATTATCGCCCTAATTAATCTCTTAAACCCCCAATTTTCTGTTTGTTTGCTGAGAAAATTGGGGAAGAAAATCAACATCCATCTCCCTCAAGCTCTGTCCTTTTGGGGATTCCAAATTCATAAACCCGAATTTTTTTTCTTCGTTTACTTAAAATTAGCAATTAGAGCATAGCTAATTGTTTTTATTTTGATTGGTTTAGGCCAGTGACAGGTTCAACATCAATTCCCAGCTTGAACACCTTCAAGCTAAATACGTTGGAACCGCTCTCTTCCTTTCAATTCTCGAAGTACGAAAAACAATTAGAAGCGTTTAGTTTAGATGTACTTTTAAAATGACTGAAAACATTTTTTGTGAAAATGTTTTTTGAACCAATTCTTAGTAAAAATACAAGTAAATTCTGAAAAAAGTACTATAGAATAAGCACTTAACTGGCAGAAGTACTTCAAGTGCTTTTGGAATCCAAAATCATTTTCTCTAAAAGCATTTTCAGTCATTTTAAAAGCACAGTCAAACGAAGCCTTAATCTTTTGCGTTTATAATTTTGCTTGTGTGTTAATTTTGAAATTATCTTGTCTTTGTAATGTGTAGTGAATGGGCGGTGAATATTCAGCGCGATAGCTACGCGTCGTATGTTGGCCATTATCCGATTCTCGCATACTTTGCTCTTGCGGAGAATGAGTCAATTGGGAGAGAACGATACAACTTTATGCAGGTTCTCTCTATTCCCTTGCTTTTTTGCTTATTTATGACTTTGAGGATAGCTAATTTCGTTGGGTGTTTCGCTTTAGTCGGCTTTAGGATGTGTATTCTGGATGTATTCTCTTGCGTTGTTGTGAGTGCTTTCAGATTTTCTTACTTGTTTGTACTTCGTAGTATTACTTATCCATTAGTGTTAGCCCCGTTCGAACTTAACTCATATACACAAGAAACTATTCATACAAGAACTAGAAAGACAATGAGTTCATTAACGTCATCATTTGTACAAACCTCGGTATATAAACTAAATTTGCATGAGCGTGGACTCCGGCGTCCCACTATCCGGATTTTGTAGGTGATCTAGGCCTGAGCGCCTTAGTCCCCCTGCTTTTGAGTTGTTCATCGGATCTTTCTTGGTGTAGTTTAGTTCCTGTCGCCCTTGTGCACCGCAGTGACGATGGTGTTTTGGCTAATTTGGTCTTCGCTTTTGTGCGTTGTTATTGTGAGTCTTGTATACTAACGATGACTTTGTTGTGGTCTTGCACTTTTGCTATGATTTTTTGTGGCCTTGCTATTCAGCGATGGCCATTGTGTCTACCAGTATCTCTCTGTTGCTGTTATCGTTTATTGTGACAGATCTGTACTGGTAGTTAAGTGCGCTTGTCAACTGTGTGATTGAGCTTGTGGGTGTCTACTAGGGTTCAACGTTATTTGTCTGCTTTGTGCAAATTCATTCCAGATCAATTTATTGGTCATTGGAATTATGTATCCAATGACACTTTGCAATTGCTTGGTGTTGACTAATGAAAGGCTATGCTATTGTTGTCAAAAAAGAGTGGAGAGTTGGCTAAACCTCATAAAATTGACCGGATCATATTATTGTTCTTAAATTACAACAATAAATAAATTTCGCAACAATTGAAACTATAAGAATTAAGTGAAGTTTCGCTAAAACTACAAACCCTAAAATCATAATAGTGTCCGAAAAAAATGAATCATAATAATTGGGCAGAGAAATTAAAATCTTTAGGCGCGCGTGGAGCGCGACCGAGAAAAAAAGGTTGTGGACACGCGCCGGAGCGGACCGTTTTTCAGTTTTACATTTCCAGACGACAGCGTTCTTTCCATACCGACGTCGCGTCGTCTTCTTCCCCTTCCAAGTTCCAATTCTGCTCCGGAAATAGAGAACCCAAATTCCCTGAAACCCTAAAAACTTTTGATTCAACCTCAATTCTATATCTTTGGCATTCTTCCGAGTAAGGTTCAGCTTGTAGCTTGTAAGTCTGCTCGGTTCTTTAATTATCTCTCTCTCTCTTTTGTACTGCTTTTCGTTTATGCTTTTCCTCTCAGATACAGTTAATACCTGAATCTATTGTTTTGAATCCAGAAAAGTATAATTTTTACTTATTATTTTGGTGTGTGGTTCCTCTGGAAATAAGACAGCAATTGGGATACCGGTGGGAATTGGTACAGGTTGGGTTGCACTGCCTTTTTGGGTTCGTTAGGATTGGATTGGATACTAGTAAAATTCAAGGTGTAACGAAGGTGGAGGTGAATGATATTTCTTTTCGAGAGGATTTTACATTATGAACATCGCTTATAATCCTACCATTTTGGGGGATTGGAATGGATAAGTTTTGTTAATGAGGAATCCTTCTTCTTTCTTCAAGATGGACACGATATTGTCATTTCTTCCTTCAACGGACATTGATTATAGTGAGTTATCTAGTCCAATCCTAGACACTAAACGAGTCCTTTTTGACACCCAAATAGTTAGTTAGTTTTTTTTCAGTGTAACGGTTTTGATTTGAAAGTTTGAGTTTTGTTTGATTATTTATATGTTTTGTTTGTTCAATTCAAAACACGAACTTGTAAGTTGGAACTGCAATTTATTATCTGGAGTAGATAAGTTGACATTCTCAAAGAGAAATATATCAAGATTCTGTTTAGAGATTGAATGTCAGTGTTCCTTACTAGGAGTTATTATATATGATAGCACGAAAAAGAGCTCCAAGAAAGGAAGCCCAATTTGTGGGAGCGGGGGAATAAGCCTGGCGATCGTCTGTCTTCTGTCAATGAAAACCCTTTTTCTTCTCGACTCAAGCCTTAATTTCTTTTTTGACATTTTGGGGCTGCCCTTTTATTTGCATATGATGATGTGATGTTTTCCTGTTTAGTGGTTTATTGTATTAAAAAATGCTGATGTTTTGGCTTCAAGTTTTCTTTACTTTTTAGCTTGTATTTTGTGATCACTGCAAAGTCTCTGCCATTTTATTTCAAATAATTTTCAGCTGTCCTTCATCAGCTTGGTATTTTAAAAATCCAAATTTCAGTACTATGCCGTAATTTGTCTGCTGTTTCTTAGGTTCCCCAGTTGATTCTGACACATGTTCGGATCAGCCAACTTCGCACTAACCCTGATAATGTGTGAGATTTTTCCGGTGGAGATGGGGTGCATAACAATGGCTCCGTGTTTTCTTGTTTGAGGTATCTCTTTATTCACACCTACACCTACATTTCCATATGAATCTCTGGTGTTAGCTATTTTCACCTCAACAAATTAGGGGGATGAAATGAATATCAGTCAGTAGTCGTTGTATTTTGGTTTTCATTGTCGATGCTTCATGTAATTGGACAGGTCAAAACCAGTAGAGCAAAGCACACTCTTGAGGTGGGGTTTAATATTTGGATTGTAATGGATACCAACACGACTGAGAGGACATCTCCGACACAAACCAAATGGAGAAAAGTGGCTTATGGAGGGATGCAACCTGGTTTTGATGACAATTACACTGATGAATCTTTTCTCGAAGAGATGGTCACAAATGCCAACGTGCGAAAAAGGGACATGCTAAAAGTGATGCAGGATTCAGTTTCCATCTCCCAATATCTGTGCATCGTAACTCTCACTGGTTTGGTTTGGATCTACACCCTCAGATCAACTCTGAACGAAAATTCGCTTTTGCTTCTTGATGTCACCCTTCTCGGATTGGGTTTTCTCATACTCCTTTTAACTCAAGAAATGTTTTCCCTCAATCTTCTTTTCCATTACATCCTCAATATTTCTTTTTTTACCACCGGCTTATATCTTCTAGCTCCTATTTATCAAACTCTTACAAGATCCATTAGCTCAGACTCCGTTTGGGCAGTAACCGTCTCACTCCTTGTGCTTCACCTTTTTCTCCATGACTACTTTGGGTCCACCATAAGAACTCTTGGGGCCCCAAACAATCCGACATTGACAAGCTGCATCTCTTTAAATGCTTCTGTTGTGGCCTCGGTTTTCATGGCTTCGCGCCTGCCTTCAAGTCTTCTTGTCTTTGCGAACATGCTTTTCTCCCTGCAAGTTTTCCTTTTCGCTCCGTTGGTAACTTACTGCATCAGGAAGTATTCCTTCCGTCTGCACCTCTGGTTTTCGTTTAGTCTGATGGTTGCAACCTTGGTTTTTGTTTATATGCTACATCTGTTTCTTTTCGTAATGTTGTTAGGGTTGTTGGTTTTTGTAACTTTGGTCTGTCCGTATTGGCTGATACGGATGCAGGAGTACAAATTTGAGATTAACGGTCCGTGGGACGAGGCTAAGCTTTGTTTTGAGATTGTAGATTGAGATTTTGAGTGCCCTTGCGACCGTTTGTTGTAATATATGTAATTTCAATGTAGAACATACAAATGTTCTGTAAACATTATCTTCTGTATCTCCTACCGTTAATCGTGTTTAGTGATGTTAATCGTGTTTAGTGATGTTATGCTTATCAACTTATGTCATTAGAAAGCGGTTTTTCTTTGGTGCAAACAGTCGTTAAATGCTTCAACCGGTAGATGGGTCTCAAGTTCAAATATCCCTCCAAACTCGGCCAACCCCCCATTCTCATTAAGGAAGAAAAAGGTCATAAGGTTTCTTTTCTTGTATTTTTCTTAAGTACCTACGTGCACTCAACCTTTCCTCTTGCGGTCTACCAATCAATGCAAGCCCTTTTTCAAGGCAATCAAAAAGGCGCATGGGAACAAGTGGGACGGCAAGTGCGAAAAAGCGTTCTAGAACAATTATTTATCATCAATTTAAGCTTTGGATCAATTTCAACGGTCAAAATATGTGTATACTTTTTTTTTTTTTTTGACAAACGGTAAGATAATTTATATTAAACTATGGAGAAGGGATTCAAACACAAGACCTCATAGTCAAAGTTAGACTCACTTGATAAACATATGAATGTAAAATGGGTTGCCCAGTTACCAGGCCCACGTAGCAGCCCAGCCCACAACCCATTCCTGTCCAATGTCCAGATCCAAAAAAAAAAAATGTATAAATTAGAAAATTGTAAGGGCATTTGGTTCGACTAAATCGTCGAGTCCCGAACGCGAGCACGCAGCCTCCTCAGTCGGCAGCACTAAGTCCTCCCTGTAGCTCGAGCCGCCGCTCCACCGCCATTCTGCAGCACTCCTCCACCCAGCGCCGCCCTCTGTAAGTCCTTCCTCGTAATTTCATCTTCTTCTTCTTGTTTAACTCTTCTGCGTTTAGTCTTCTCTATTACAAGGAATTCTGTGAATGTAATCATCTTTCCTGTTTTATTTTTTTTGCAAAGTAACTTTAATTATGTCTCTAACTTCTTATTATTTGTGAATTAGTGACTAAATTCTTACAAATTTCTGAATTAACCATAATTCTGGCAGGTTATTAGGGCTTTTGCAATACTTTGTTCCCAATTTGTTCCAACAAATAGCAAAAAATGCAGAAGAATAAGGGAAGACAAAGAGGAGGTGGACCATTTACGAGACGAACCGATAACAAGGAGGAAAACACAGACACCCACTTCCAAAAAATGGACTTGAGGAACATTGCTAAAGAGATTGAGCTTTTGGGTATGTATATAATTTGTCACTATTGTTTTTCGCATTCATACAGTTCCTTTTGTTGTAATAACCTAAGATTTTTCGGTGAAACGACATTTTTATAGAACCTATAAGCCCAATGTGAGTTCCTTCTACAAAGCGTATTGGTGTTGTCGTACCGAATTTGTGTAGGAAGATGATAGAATTGCTTGACATGCTCCATGGATAATGCCCGTGAAATGCTCATGTTTTCGTTTGATGCATCACATTGATGGGGCCTAGCTTCTTAAGATTATTTCAGTGGTCAAGTGAATCTTTTGTATTGTTCACTCAAATTTTTGTTGCATGGTGAGACAAAAGTATCGTTTCGTGGTGTGTGGATTTTACATATATTTTTAAGTAATGGGATTGGACAACTTCATGTGTTTGATGCATTTATCTGTACCTTTTCAGTTATGTTTATGCTAATTTTAGTCTGCCCTTCCGCTTCAAATTACTGCATTCAGGTACATCTAATATGACATGGAAGGAGAGGAAGGAGTTGGAAAATAGGAAGGTGGTTTCTCTAGGCGGAAAGGTATAGACCTATCCCTATATTTAATTTCAAAAGTATTAATCTATGAACTGCTTTGTTTTGATTTATGTTTTTGTTGTAATGGGAAAAGGATTTAGTTTTAGGAAAATAAATGGTGAGAGGAGTTCGTTAGTGCCTATTATTTCCACACTCTACAAGCTTTGTTGTCATGTATCCATAGCCTGTTTGTGCCACGTTGATTTGGAAGTCTAAGGTACCCCATAAGGTACAAAATACTTGCTTGGATAAGCTTGTGGAGAAGTTTGTACCTGTAACATTATCCAGAAGAAAGAGGCCTAGTGTTGGCTTATCACCTCCTCATAGGAAATATCACCTTTTGATTGCACCATGTGCAATTATCTGATTGATAGTATTGACGATATTTTTAGTCGCTGTGATCGCTTTGAGGCTTAGGTATATGTTGTTCTGGAAAGCAAGGTCTGTTCAGGGCAAACAGAAAAGTGGAGGACAAATAAATTTTGTGGAACAGGGGAAATTTTCTGGTTTTCTATAGGCTTCGAGGCCAATGAATTTAGGGACGTTCCATTGTTTTAGATTAGTGTGGATTGGAGGGCTGATGTAGCTTAAGTCAGCTGTTAGTTTTGAGGTGTGTAGTCTGTTGTAATGACGGTTTGGTTCTGTTAATGTGTAAACGTGGTGGTTTTGATTGCATTTTCAGTGGGCTGCTCACTTGGTGCAATGTACATTTGTTTTATTTATTACTTGAGTTGAATATAGTTTTTATATTTCCTGTAACTGGGAATGAAATTTGCTTAAGTTTCCAAATAGTGCTAGTAGTCAGCTGAAAGCACACAGCTTATAACTAAAGAGCAATAGGACATTGGTCTTCTTCAGCTGAGCACTGACTAGTTCTACTTTTTTCAATATGGCTATGTATGCATTCATTTACAAGCTCCCCAAAAGTATTCATGAGTGCTTGCTTCCTTGAAACAGCCTCAAAAGAACCGGCGACTACCTCTAAGTGTAGCAAAACTGGTCATGAAGAATCAAAAGAAAAGGGAGCAAAAACTGCAAGAACAGGTGATTTTCTTCTTCCACTGCCCTTTTTAATTTGCAAATGGTAGTTTGGTCAACTTGAACCAACTCGATACTCAATCTGTATAGAACATGGTCCTTGGACGTTTTGGTGGGAATTCGAGTGGCAGTTCTAAGAGATCCACGGAGAGGAAGAGGCCCGAGAACAGGGGTTTGAAAGCAAGTGAAGGACACTTTAAAAATGGTGTACTTGATGTGAAGCATTTGCTACGTCCTACTTCATCCACATATGCTGGTCCGAGTATGCTCAGAGGGAAAACTAAGGGGAAGCGAAAGAACAACACAGGTAAGAAGATCGGTGGTATGGACTAGCATAATGACGGAAAATCGTTTTAAACAAGAGTAGAAAGATTTTGCTTGTGTTGGTTGTGCTCCTATCGGCTTTGGAACTCGAACAATACTAGTGTGATCCCATGTATCTTGGCAGCCACTAGCATTTAGCGACAACTCTTTTTTCGGTTTTGTTATTTACTTCTTTTTAGTTCGAAATCTGTACCTCTCTTTACTGGACCGGATAAAAACGTACACACTATGCAATTTTTATCTAACAGATGCAGTTTCCGTTTTCATGATTTCATCGAGCAATCAGATGCCCGATCGCGGTTTCCTGGTATCGTTTGATCTTCATTATCGTGCTCCAGAATTCGTTCTGTAGAATACCTGTGAGATGTGTATGTTTAAGTCAATTTACCTATGTAAACAAAATCTCGAGTGCTCTCTTTGCCGTATAACTTTTTAACATTTGACAGAAATTTGGAACAAATGCTAGAAAGTTAACGGTAAGCCCCAAAATTTGATTTTCAGAGTTTAAATCCCTAAATTAGAGGGGGATAAAATGTTTATTTAAAAGTGCTACAGAATCTCAATTTTCTCATATCGGACCGTGAGGTTTTAGAGAAAATGTTTTTTGGTTCCAAAAATACTTAAAGTGCTTTCTACAAGAAGCACTAATTATGTGCTTCTTTCAGAAAGTATTTTAAGTATTTTTTTTTTCAGATTTATTTGTATTTTTACTAAGGATTGGTTCTAAAAACATTTACACGAATAACGTTTTCCGTCATTTTAAAAGCACATCCAAACGAGCTTTTAAAACTGTTTCCATTTATGCATTTCTATCTACTATTATCTAAAAATAATCAAGTTATTAATGACTGGACGAACCAAGAAATAACCCCTCACGTACGAAATTATAGAAGATCCCCTTTAAGATCAAACAATTCCATCAAATTGAGTATGATTGTATGTGTGATAGCATCTACTATACTAGGCTGTGTAGAAGTCACACTTACACCAATCGGATCAAAATAAGTGATATTGTTTTGGAATAAGAAGTATTAATTGAGATGTTGAAGCTCTATGATGACTACTTTTGGTCCATGTGGTGCAAATGTGCATTCCACAACTCATAAAATTGGACCCAAACTCAATTTAACGAAGGACTACAAAGTCAACCTGACGGAAGACATAGATTGATAAGATCTCAAGATTTTATGATGCAATGTGAAAAGATTAACATCCCGTGACCAGTTTTAAAAAGAGTAGTTATCAAATATAGCCAAAAATTAACCCTTAATTTCAAAAATGTCATTTTTTTTATAAAAACTTTCAAATATATCCAAAATTTCATTTAAATAGACATAAATACCCTCAAATTTAACAATTAAATAAATTAAAGGCTTTTTAGCTACTATCGCCCCAAGTTTCGGTCCAATTTCACCTTCGCTTCTACACTCCACCACAACAACCCTATCCCCTTCGATCCCCTCATCACCGACATCGAGCGTCACTGCGGTTCCGCAAGTGGGAGTAGCAAAATTTCAATCATGCCTTCAACGCCTTTTTTCTTACTAATATCAATTTTAGTTTTAAATGTAAAAAATAGTTTTTAAAGTTATATGATTGTATTTGTGAAACCCATATGGTGCCACATCATCACACTAACAGAGCAATTGATAGATTTTTCACGAAAAAACTAAAATGATCACGATGAACATATTAATTGTTAAGGACCAGATTAATAAGTTATGTCAATGTCACGAATCATTTTGGCTAAAAAGCCTTTAATTTATTTGATTGCTAAATTTGAGGGTATTTGTGTCTATTTAAGTGGAATTTTGAATACATTTGAAAGATTTTATAAAAAGTGACATTTTTGAAATTAAGGGTTAATTTCTGGCTATATTTGATAAATACTCTGTTAAACACCATTCCAAACTTAAACGGTGTAAAATGAAGGGGCCCAAAAATAAAGCATGACATAAGTGCAAATATTTTTCAGAGGTGACCTGGTCTTGAAAACAATACAACAACACTGAGTGACACCCAGACGCAAAATACAACAGAAAGTACAAGATTTAAAAGGATAATTGTCCACCGGGCTAAATTGTCTATCCAGTCAGGTCAAGCTATCCGATTCCAAACAGAGAGTATTAGATTAAGGATAATTATCCACCGGACTAAATCCCCCACTTCCTCCAAGCTCCACATGATATCCACGTTTCAATTGAAGTTCTTCAAAACTTCAACCTTCAAAGAGTTCTAATAACCAAACATGAAATCATCATACATTGTTAAACTTTTTTTTTTTTTTTTTTTTTTTGGAATCTAGTGTCTCCAGGTCTTTGACCCGACTACTCACTAGGCCACCCGCCTGACCCCACAACATTGGTAGGCAAGAAACTCTAGCAATTGCTAGGTGGGTACCTTGAGAGGTGTCGAACCCCAGACCTCTTGGTAACAAACCAAGGGCCTGACCATTAGACTAAACACTCTTAGGTATACATTGTTAAACATCTGCTACGACTAAATTAACGAAACAAGATTAACGTAAACTTACCGAAACAAGATTAACGTAAACTTACCAAAACAAGACAGAATCAACCATCAACGTCCATCTGTTGAGTTGTTGGGGGTGGTCCAAAAAACTCTACACGAAAAAGAATGGGAAATGTTTGAAGAAATGCATAAATTCAACTCGGGCCAAAATTACAAAGAATTTGAATTGTTACCTGACTCGAGTTCTTCGTAGAATTGTGTGTCCCGGATAAGTGTTTCATCGTCATCTACCAAGACGGGAGAAGATGGTAGGGTTCGTAGCCAATCTTCCGAGCACATCAACGCCTGCACAAACTTAGGAGTGTACGAGCTCCAATGCTTATTAAGAGCACACTCTCCTGTGCCTGTGCTAAATGCAGACTCAGATGAAGCCATTGTCGATAATGGAATAGCAAACACGTCCCTTGCAATGCCCGACAAAACTCGATACCTTGTAGAGTGTACTTTCCACCAATGCAGCATGTCGAACTTGTCATTTGCTGGATCCTCGCAAGGGTCCAGCAAATATTTATCCACCTCGTTTCTTGGAAGTAAACCTTTCTTTTCTTTGAACTCCTGAAACTTATTTATCCATTCACCGTGACACTGATCATCATCGTTAGAAGCTTCAGGGCAACCAGGGGTGGAATCCGATGCACTATAAACCTTGTAAAGACGAAACAACAGCTCTTTGACCCCTTTCACCATCTCTTCAACCATGGAATCGTCATATATCTCACTAAAACAAAATGACACATAATCCAGCTTAAACCGCGGATCAAGCACAACTGAAACAATCAACAGCTTGTTGCTGTCAAGAGAACCCCAATATTTGTCATATTTTCTCTTGATACTAGCCGCCATTTTTCCCAAAACTGAATCCTGATTTCGGCTCAATGTTGTCAACTTCGATTGAATTGAACACATGGTATCGAAATACACATTCGAAGTGACACACGAAGCGCTAAACTTCAAGGTCGCATCATAAAAGATCTTCAAAAGTATAACAAAAACCCGAACATTTTCCCAATCATCGACAGTAGGTGGCCCTTTCAATTTTACCCTACTGATCCAATCCTCCAAGAAATAGCTAGCATAATCTTCATCATCTTCTTGTAGCTTCTCAAAAGCCCTTTGGAACTTTAAGGTGTCTCTCAACATCAAATAGGTTGTATTCCACCCAGTATGATTATCCGAAACCATTAGACCTTCACACTCAATTTCTTCCTGCTCAATAAATGCTGAAAATTTCGATAATCCTTTGGGAAAAATCTTTACATATCTCACAGCATTGCGAATACTATCAATTGATTCATGCATATCTCTCAAGCTCTCGTTCACAATCGAATTCACAATACGAGTATAACACGGCATGTGTAAAAATTCACCATCTAACAAATTCCCAGCCAAATTTTTCAACTTCAATTTCATAAAGTTGATAGCCGCATCATTTACACTCACATTATCAACAGAAACTGTCAACACTCTTTCTATACCCCATTCAACTAAACACGCTGCAATGATTCTCCAACTGTCTCCTCATTCACATCAGGTACAACGCAAAAGTTCAACATTTTCTTATGCAGCTCCCAGTTACTATCGATAAAATGGACCTTCAGAGCCATGTAGTTGATTTCTTTCACAGAAGTCCATGTTTGGGTGGAAAGGCAGACCCGCCTCTGCGGACTTTCAATCAACATTTCTTTCAGCTGCTTCTTCTGATGTGAATAAAGCCGGTATGCATCTCGAGCAATTGTTATTGGAGATGGCACAGTGAAATAAGGATAAAGCTCTTTAACAAAATCTTGAAACTCTTTCATGTTCAAGTTGCTAAGAGGTAACCCAGTGCCGATTGTCATCTTAGTTAACCCTCTGATATATTTTGCTAAACTAATCCGGCTTTCCAATGAATCATCAACAAAGCAACTAGTTTCAAGACCTGGGTCCTCTTTCCCTTCGTGCTCTAAACCATTCAGGTTATTTTCACACTCAGTAGCTAAATGATTCCATAAAATACTCTCCTCGGGCTTCAGAGCACCGAAACTGTATTCTGCACCACAGTAGTTACATTCATATCTAGGCTCAGTAAGGCCATCATTTTCAAGTTTAATGAAGTGATCCCATACCGTTGGTAGCGATCCAGGTTGGTCAGTTCGCGGACTTTCAGCAGAATTAGTATCTGAATTTGAGTAATCCTCTTCCATCTCAACCCTATCAATCAAACTCTGTATGAAATATAAATCAGATAATCGCGACAAACATCAACACGGCATCAAAACTATGAAACAAATCTCAGCAAATAAACACAAAGCAGCAGAAATTGCAAGAAATCGGAGACCCCTAAAATCAAATTGGGAACTGAAAAGTCTAAATACCTAATCAGCTAAAGTATACCACCCAATCACCTACAAATCTCAACACATTCACCTTTCAATCCCATACAGTAAACAAGTCATGACCTCGAAACGTTCACAAATATGAACGGAAGCTGATTTTCACACACCCCTCTTTATTTCTGGTCATCGGATTCCGATTCGATGAATTAAACGGAAACTACAACAACAGCAGTAAACATGGGTGTGCTAGAGGAGAAAAATGGTGCGTGTTTATCATTTTCCATTACCAACTACCCGCAACCGGCATATATGACAGAAATTTCCCAAGACAGATCTGGGGATGAAATATTCATGCCATTACTATTTTATTTTCTAGTAATTTTGACCCGATCATCTGATAAAGTAACAAATCCAAGAGTTGCAATAAGAAATGAGGGTACGCTAATTTGGAAGAGAAACTCACCGACTTTTCAAATCGTCGCGAAAGCACTTTCCGGCAGAAGCAGCAGCAGCAGCAGGCTAGCTGCAACAATTGAGCTGATGAGACTAGAAAGGGAGAGTGCGAGTGAGCCGCAGTCTGCAGAAATTGAAGGGTTTTGGCAAAAAGCTGAGAACCCAAAAGTGATTCTATATTTATACTAACAAGTACGTACGTACAACCCGAAACCAATCCCGAAACCGATCCCGAAACAAATCCCGAAAGCGCGGGAAAGAAGTTTTTGTTATAAATAGGCTTTTGTTCGAACATGGGAGAAGCGGGTACAAAATATTACTCT